TAGCGCAGCCTTTGAACCCGTGTGAGCGTGGCAGTGAAGTGGGGTCGGATTTGGCCATCGCTCTCAGCGACTTGCGCTCTCAGTGCACGAAGGTTTGGCACTCTATGTGCGGATATGGCCTATGCAAGTCTCTACGACGTTTTGTACTTACCCCAGTTCTCGCCATGCGCGTGGTAAAACAAAGTTCGAGTGCTTAGACGCTGATGCTGTACTTGTAGTTCTCTGCGTATGTTTGTGAATGATTTCATATCGATTGTGAATATGATTCGAATATTAGATTTGGATGGAGACGGGGGATAAGCATATTTGCACGCGTGCGTGTTAAAGTGTTATCCGCCGTCGACGCAGCAAAAACCATGACAGTTTTTGCGGCCAAATCTATCCCAGAAAGTTTGCATGTCTACATGCAACCTGTTTCTTTGAGAACTCCATGCAAAATTACATGTTGATTTTTCAGTTTTCCCAAAACTCCATGCTGACACATGTTGAGTTCCGGTTTTCCATTGGCATGTCAGTACATGTTCAGTGCATGTTTCACCGCAGCTGTGATTGCTTTAGCGTTTACTGAAGAAGACATCTTCTGGAAATTTTGTTTTCCCACCCACCCAACCCTGTACCATTGATGCCGGGGGGGGGTCGGATTAGGCCATCGCTCTCAGCGACTTGCGCTCTCAGTGCACGAAGGTTTGGCACTCTATGTGCGGATATATGCACGTCTCTACGACGTTTTGTACTTACCCCAGTTCTCGCCACGCGCGTGGTAAAACAAAGTTCGAGTGCTTAGACGCTGATGCTGTACTTGTAGTTCTCTACGTATGTTTGTGAATGATTTCATATCGATTGTGAATATGATTCGAATATTAGACTTGGATGGAGACGGGGGATAAGATACGGAGGAATGGCCCATGGGGCTTTAGCCTTCCAGGAGCAGCTGCAGCTTTAGTCTCAGCTGGACCTGAATTTTTCTGGCGGGCTAGGCCCACTCAGACGATAAGAGCAAAGTGCTAGCCGCTAGCGCTGGCTGCGAACAACTTGTTCATGCTCTCAGGGGAGTTTGCGCTGTTTCAGTGAGCCAGTCTCCCGTCCTGGGGTGCAAAGTGTCCTACCTAGCCTTAGGGCTTAGGGCTGAGGGAGCCAACAAGGCTGTGGCAGCAGGTGTGGGCAGAGCTGGATGGGCGCGCAATAGCCTTGCTGCTGTGCGTAGAGTAAAGGGCGAACCATCCAAAAAGGATGGAAACTTATTCCAGGTAGAGACCTCGTCTGTGGACTGAGGCGTAGCATACGCCTTACCTCGCCCAATGAGGCTAGAGGAGTAGGAAGGTGGCTGTAGCCACACTTCCCAAGAGGAGAAGATCAACCATATAGCTGATTAATTAAGTGCATTCTGAGACTAACTAAGGCCTTCGGCGACAGTGCGCGAGTGGTGAGAATTTTGCCACAACGAAGTGGAGTGTGGAAGCCCCGACTCCAGAGAGATGCCGCCGGAGAGTTTTTGTTGGTTTTAGCTGTTTGGTTGTGAGTTGTACACGCGGCAGACTCGAAGCCAGTTTGAAAGAGTTTTGCATGCGTTTGAGATTTTCCTGCGTTTTTGACCATGTCGGAGACATGCCACTAGTATAACATGAAAGATCTAGTGATTTCATGTAGACTTGCATGGTTGCCGCGTGTTCTGGTTGAGCGAGCATTGTTTTCCAAGGTTTTGAGCTGAAAGACCTCGAGGATGAGAGCTGTAAGTGATGAAAGCTCCAGAAATATGGAGTTGTGGAAATTGTGCTTGCGCGGTCATTCTACTGCGAGCAGGCCTGGATTTGGCCAGGATCCCTCCGCCGTACTTGCTGTGGAGATCCTTGAAAGATTTTCTTTCCACAGATTTGAACTTGTCCAGCTCCGTCTTCGATGGGTTGCGTCTTTGGGGTCCCCAGTAGGCTGGTGGAGGAGCGAACAGGCGTGGTGGCACGACATTCTCTGGATGGGTAGCGTCCATGTGTGGCTCGCTTGGTTTTAATGTGCCTGAAGACATGGTTTCACTGCTCCCAAGTACCGAGGACAGGGGATCTGTGTTCTCAGCAATTGGTGGTGGAGGTGGGGTGGGGGCATGAAGCGCAACAATGCGCCAGCTAGCTGCGCCGTCTGCTGCACCTTTGCCTTGATTCTTCTTTTCTCCAGTGGGTATGGCTTGCAGAAGGGCATCAAGCTCCTTCCTTTCGACTCTCCCTTTCACCCTTATTTATCACGTGCTGCAGTTAGGGCTGAATGCAGGGCAAGTGACGCAGACAGAGTCAGACCACACAAGAGGATGACGCAACTGAGCTCAGCGCACGCAAAGGAGATGCGCGAGGCCTGGCTAGGGAGGGAGAGACTCATGGCCAAAGGAGAGAGTAGTACTATGTGAGAGTAAGGACCCCATTCTGTGTGGAGTGATCCTTGATCAGGTTCACACCGTCGAGCGCGCTTCCTGATGGATCACCCTCACCATCCATTGGCAGAACATCTGGCGCATCTTGAGTAGCGTATCTTGGCTGGCTCATCGTCTAAAGGATTAGGAGGATTATCAGCATCTTCGGGCCCATCATCTGGTTTCCCAGTGTGGGCCGGGCCTCCAAAGGCTGCACCTGTGACAGTTCTGGTTCCCGAGTGTGAGCCGGGCTTCCTACATGGTGCATATCAGCGAAAGATTCAGGTAAAGCAGGGGCATCTACTGCAGCTTGAGCTTCAGATTCAGGCTGGTTCACTTGTTTCCCGTTTGCCAAAACCACTCTTCTTGGCCATGTTCCTGCTGATTGTGGATGGAAGAATTTTCTTCCACCACGGCCTCTGCCGTGGCCTTTGCTTCCCGTCTCTTTTCTTTGCCATTTCTAGATCTGCGGCCTTGAAAGTTACGCTGGAACCAAGCTTCTTTTTGTTCATCATAAATGTAGAGAAAATCTTCATGTGCATCCAGAAAGCCTTCTGCTCCATCATTTTCATCTTCGGCGCAAAAACCAAAGGAGCCATCAAGTTCTCCTTCATCCTGATGAAGCTCTTTCGTCCTCCATGGCAGGCATTGTTGAGGAGCCGATTGTCAATTGCTGTTCGTGGACGAAACATTTCAATGAAAATATCTCTGAGAGTACCGGCGTCCAACCCAACCAGATCTATGCCTGGGCGTGCCAGTATGCTGGTAATTGACATGCTTCGATCAAAGCTCAACTCTGCGTTGGATACAAGGCGGAGTCGAAAAATTGACGGCGGTCAGGATTTGGGTTGCGGAACTTGCTTGCCGTTCTTCCCCGGTTAAAGATTGTGTACATAATCTCATTTCATCATGTGCTGGATCATTGGTGGGTGTCAACGTATCGCCCCATGCTTCGTCCAGTCTTTTCAACTTAAATCTTGACATCCATTTCATCAAATCAGACGAACCACGGCGCAAATTCATAAACAGTTGAAAGCCGTATAAGAAGACATTCACACTCCCTTTCACAAAGAAGTGTCTCAGTGCCCGCTTGAAGTATGCCGCACCATCTTGCTTGCTTTTCAGGTGACAGTTGTCCAGGATTTTCTTGTAGATGGTGGCCTCGCCTTCAAGTCTGTTTCGCAGGGCTGGTCCTCTTCTCTCCTTGTCCAAGTCAGTTATGTCGCGCCAGTCGTCTATAGCATCTTCACATGCAAGCCGCGATGTATTCCCATCCAATGAAGGTGGTATTCTTGTCGTCAATTCACTGCAATGCATAGTAAACAGGCGAGCGGGCGTCTCCTTCTTTTCGCCACTCTATTCGCTCCTCGAGTATTGTCTCCTTAAAACCTTGAGAGAGCGGCATATCGCAGACAACTGTGTTTACATGAACTGTACATGGACTGATCGCAAAGCAACAGGACTGTAACTAATTGAGCCCGCATTGATGCTTACCGTGCAGAAAGTCATGTCGTGGTTATGTTTGCCGTAAAGGAGGGTTACATGGAGATTTTGTTTGCAAGTTGATCGGGCTGCACCCCACCCAACCACCTTCCCCCCTTTCCTTTTTTTTAAGCAACCCATGCTTGTCAACAATATCATGTCATTACTATGCAAGCTCTCGCCTGCAGCGTTTTCACACCTCTCAAATTGAGCTCTTGGTGGGCAAGCCTTTACAGCAGGAAAAAAACACATCCGTGGGCGGATGGCATGTTTTTTTTAAGTTTGGCTGTATCGTTCTTGTAGCGCCTGGTATACGGCCTCTCAACCGCATCTCTAGACCAAGCAATACAGCCGAACCCAGGAACAAAACCGCTTCCTTCGTTGAGGGTATCATGTGTTTGTGATGCCAGGAGGGTCGCTGGCGCCCAAAATGCACAGATAGACCCCAACGTAGCACGTTATGTTTCAGTTTTGAACCGAAGAAGACAACGGCATGCAAAGTTCACATTGCAGTGTCCGCTGTTCGGCAACAAATTTGAGCATGGTCATGTACAAACCAATGTTGATGGTTGCTGGTTTGCTAAGGGTTGACTGACTGAAAATTTATCGCGTGGTGGTTCCAGATATTTCAAGGGACTTACTTTCTGCTTGCGCGTCCCCAGAAATGCAAGCGGCGCAGGCAAATTGCCATGTAAGTATGGCGTATCGGCACGCCCAGGGTAACTTAATGATTAATGATGTTAAACCGTGCATATTTATGTCTTTGTGTACGCACCTCGTGATTGTAATTGCAAATGTAACTTGCTTGGGTTTTAAGTTTTGCCTCCCTTAATGAGGCCATGTGTCCATGACAATGTGGCCCAACGCAAACCTTCAAAAACTAAAAGGTTTGAAGGGTGCTTGTCAACAAGGCAATATTTTGGTAAATTTCGTGTTCTACGTGCTAAACGAGTGCATTGTTGATCAAATAGGCTCGAAGCAACGAACAGTGTTTGTCAGAATTGGGGTTTGGCATATTGCACACTTTGAATCATGGTCGGTTTTCATCAGTGACATATTGTTAGATACTACGGAGTGTTTGATTCATCGCTGTGGGGCACATGCACAAAGCATTGCCCTGAACATGTCAGCTTCGCAGCCGCGTTCATTGTTGCCAGCTGCAAATGTGATTGGCAGTTCTTGCAGTGAAAGTGAGTCTTCTGCCAGTTCCGATATTGACACACTGTCCGCGAAGAAGGAGTTGAAAGCTTCGAGAACTTCTTATTTCTCCTTGGAATCCATGACGACGAAAATGGAGAAGAAAGACGAGATCTTGTGGCAAAAACGAACAATGAACCTGATGCCTTGCGTCTTGCTGGCTTTCCAGGCGCGACATGCAAAAAGACATGTCATTTTAATTCTTATAGTTCGAGTCCATTTTGTAAGTATTAACGGCTGCTTGACCATTTCAGACAGAGGTGGTGCTGCTCCTGGTGCCTTTTACATTGACTGATTGGTTTCCTTCATCAGCCTCTATTCCAGCTTCTGATATCTTCGTGGTTTATCAAGTGCTAGCTGCAGCGCAATTTTGCATTCTCTGCTTATTTCGAATCTTTTGGAGAGGGATAGAGTCTGCATCAGTGATGGCTTGGTCAATGCAAGCATACCTGGGAGCTGGCTGGTCGTATTGGCTGCTTGGTGCGGCAGTGGAGTTGACCAAGTGGTCTGGAATGAACACAGTGGGCCAGTATGCCATTTTGATGCTTCACCGCACAAACTGTGCTTGCTTGGAGTTCGCCTTCACGTATTCAATCCAGCAGCTGATCTGACATATTCCCGGAGCATTTGTATTTTTCATGTAACGTCGAAAGAATGGCATTTCTACAAGTAAGGTGCCCCAAGTTCGATTTGTTTGTATATATATATATGGAGATAGATAGTAATCCTCATCATAGGCATTCGAAGAAAACAATCCCAAATTATTATGGAAACGCCCAAATAGTCTGGCTTCGGGGTTCGTAAGGAGCCGGCTTGAGCTGACGGAGCGTGGACTTGGGGTAGAGCTTGGAGCCAAGCGGATCCGAAAAATTCGTTGGTCATTCTTCATGACGCAGATCGGCTTTAATTTTGTACGCTTGTATGGTGAAACACAGACAAAGCTCGTTCGTCGCCTACTCACAAGCATCTACCACTGCATAACCGGAGTGGGTGTGTCTAGGCTGTGGTTAGTAAATCTTCTGGCTGTTGGGACTTGTACTGTACTTTTGGCTGGAGCCATGTGGTACTCGACTGTCTCAGGTCCTTGCTGACATGTTTGTGGCTGTGGGAGCTCTCTATCGTGTCACATCCCGCCTAAAGACTGTGAAAGTTCCGGAAGACAGCTTCGCCAGCTGCGAGAAAGCTTGGTCGGTGCAGATCCTGAATCGCATGATGCTGGCGATCTGCTTCTCCTGCATCCTTAGCACGTCCATGCACATTCTCGGCATTCCCACGGCCTCCCTTCTCGTTCCGCATGACTTCCAGTGGGCATGGTTCCTTGATCCCGGCATCCACGCAGCAGACATTGCTGTGGAGCTCACTGGGCTGATGTTTATTGGTGGGGTCATCACACCTCAGGAGCCCTGTGCCAAGCAGAGAAGGCCTTGCCTTCGTGGCTTGGATCGGCTCACTGAAGAGCTGCCAGAAAACACCGAAAACGCAAAAGTCAGGGAACTGGCGATCAGAAGCATCGATGTCTCCACACTGCTCGATTTCTACGGAGGACTGGATGTAATGACGCAATAAAATAACTGCCACAGTCATGGGACGATACACCGATATTATGGGGTTTCCCAAAACCTGTGTGGGATCCCCTTTCAAGGGGTGTTAGTAACTGTTAGTACATTGGGTTCTACTGTGGCCTTGAAAATCATGGCAAACGAGGATTGGGGCCGGCGGGGCACATCATGCCACACTTTGATCCTGCACGTTCTACGACCCATGATGTCGTGCGTCAAGCAACTTGCTGGTGCTTAAGCGGCGTGGGTAGTCAAAAACGTTATAATAGGGTCTACATGGGGATGATATTGGAATAGTCACAGGGATCCGGCCCCCCCACTCGAGCTTCAGTTCCGGTGAGGCAATCATTCCCGAGTCACGGACGGGTCATCGTGGCTTGGCCTACACGGAAGTCGCACCGGTGCAGAGCTTGATGCCTAACTGCATCTGAGTTGTGGTTGGATAACATGCTTCACCTTTGCATATACTTGAGTGCAATATAGAACAGACATGATGATTTAAAACAACGTTTCAAGAATAATGCAGGTATGGTGACGCACTCCTGGTCGAACCTCTTCATTTGCCTGGTGGCTGCAGTCGTTGCCGATGCCCTGGGGCTTAACGAGTATGCCAAGATTGCGGAGAGCTTGCGCCATGGGCAGCTGCAGAATCTACGGCAAAGGTTGTCGGTAAAGGGCACACTCGGCAGCTGCTACTGGATCTGCTGCTTCTGCATCAACCAGCATTCCAGTATCTTACTGCAGAAGAACTGGGGCAGTGAATAGGTACTATGTTAGGAGTATGGGGAGCATGCAGGAAGCGTTTTAGGAATCCACTCCCGCATTGGGAAGCACCGGCAAGGTATTTGCGGCGGATTGGGGCCCGCACCCTCAGATCCTGCAGGCCTAGCCAGGCCACGGCTGCAAGAAAGTTGGTCCAAGGGTTCTCCTCTTGCCCTGACCACAAGAAGAGACAATAACGGAAGCAACCACGGTGGGGTTGTAGTGGCCGCAGAAGCATTAGCAGGAGGGGGTAGTGCTAGCAGCGATGGTAGGAGTAGCAGGGCAGCATGAGTGCTGTGGTAGTAGTCATACTTTTTTGCGGTAGCAGCAGCATTTGCGGCAGTGTTGGTGACAAGTTTGATTCAGCATGGCAAGCCTCTGCCGCAATACAGGCCAATGAAAGCACATTTCAGAACCATGAGGTTTGCAATCAGTATCAGCAAAACATTATATAGTAACAGTAACACTACTCTTAATTGAGCTACTGAGAACAACGCAGAAAGGAATACTTTAGATAACAACAGAATCATGCTTACCTGAGATACTGACGAGATGCGTGGAACTGAGATAATATCAAGACCATTAACAGAAATACTTTCATTATCACAATACAAGCAATAGTCCGTCTAGTGCCAGAATTACTGCCGCCAATGCCCCCACCCTCACCCCCACCCCACCCCGCCCCCACCTCCACCCCCACCCCCGCCCCTGCCCCCGCTTCCCCACCACCACCGCCACCACCACCACCACCGCCGCCGCCGCCGAGGCCGCCACCAGTACCACTAACACTTACACATATCACTACCACCTTTATTTCTACGAAGAGATACGGTCATGATGATGGTTTCTTTTGAACAGCTGTGCGAAGGTTCAAGGATGGGGTTGAGTGGGCCGGGGGGCCTCCGTCCAGGTTTGTGCACTCTGTGTTGTTCTGCTCAAAGTTCTGTAGAGAAAGGTATACTTACCAGCTGAAATTCGCCTTCAGGCACAAGAGCTGCTAACAATATACAGTTTCTCAGACCCACAAAAAATCTTGAAAAGGGGCCCTGCACGACACGACTGTCCTGTTGAAAGGGGGTTATTGTGACGTTGTAGCTCATATGATTTCAGATTGGTGGTCCTAAAGAACCCATACCCCTCAAGTCAGGAACAATTCAGGAACATACCCCAAATGATACCTGAACTCCCAACATGATTTCAGGTATTTTTCTCAAGAAAGAGCTACCGGGCTCCCTGAGTGGTCAGGTGGATGAGGAACCATACGGACACCGCCACTGGACTACCTTTGGTCTTCTGCGACTGCCTTGAGCCGAAGTTCACAAACGACCATCCTCAGTGTGAGATTAACAAGTTTGACCGGATGATGATGTGGATTCAGTTCAAGAATCCAGATTTCAGGCAGACAGGTCTGCAACACAAAGCTGCACGCCCAAGCCCGAAGCCCGGAACCCTCAACACCCAACCTTCAATCTCCAGCCCGTAAACCTTAAATCCCGAACCCAAATCCAATTTTCAGGCAGATGGTCGCAGCAGACCGTGACTTCGAGGTTGCCCGGAAAAGGGAAAGTCTTTTGATGCTTCAAGGTTCAGGGTCTAGTACGAGTTTATGATTTGTGCTCAACGTGGGTTTCAGCTTTAGTATGACGCTTTTGGGCTGCCAAGCTGTTCACAGCACCTCCATTTGCATGGCACGGCCTTCGAGACTGTGCGAGCCGGGCACAAACACTTTGCTAATGCATTGTTGATTGAAACTACATGGGAGCGTTTCAAGAATGATTCCTGTATAGCCCGTAGTCACGCCTATGATCCCTATATCATCCTAGGGTGGTTTTCAAAGAAATCCTATATACCCTTGAATGACCTTGTGCTGTTGACAGAATTGCGTTACTTTTTGGGTCCTTAAAATAATACGATCCGCACAATGTGGATGATATACGAGAAGGGGTTTCAAATCATGCTTTTGTGGTTCACGTCTAACACGATTTGAACATTTGAGCAAGGTTTTTGCACGAGCCTGGTGTGTGGCAGAGCTGGTCGCTGCGCATGGTGCAGACGTCCCACAGGTTGCTGGGCTGTTTGCAAACATTTTTTGGAGGCCTTGCCTCCCAGATAGACGAAAAGTTGATGAAAAGCGATGATGGTAGATTTTTCACAGTCTCAACCTCAACGGCCTTCCAGGTTGTTTGCCTTGAGAGCAGCAAGCCTTTCGACCCTGGAGCAGACAACCTTGCGGTTTATGATCAGCTCGTGAACCTCAGCGTGGCACACAGCCTGGCTTCGCGACCAGAGGATAAGGAGATGAGATAGAAACACAATTTTCACTTGAAGGTACACAAGTACTCATGACAGGTGTGATGATCAAGAAAACCAGGCGAGACATGCCCGAGATGGCAAAAAGTTGGACGAATACAACTATTCACGAACATCGTGCCAATACGAGGAATGACAAGCGCCAGTGGTAGTTGCAGCGGCAGTGATGCCTGTTATTGCATCGAGGTTGGTCTTCATGGTGCTTTTTTTGACAGTCACAACCAACCACTGCAAGTCTGATATGCGTACATGCCAAGAAATTAGATATTTGCAGGCGTTATGCGTTGATGAGCCCAAATCATGCTGATGTAGCAGCGTATCCTTTCTGATTTTTCACTCAACCTGAGTATGTGAATAGCGGCATTAGCCACAGATGACCGTAGAAGAGATGCGCGCAATAACAATAATCACCATCATTGTCATCATCACCATCATCCAGCAGTCTCATTGGAGTTTATGAAAACCTATAACAGCGAACATCAGAATCCCCCATCCTCACAGCGCTACTGGGAAACTTGGAAAAGGCTTGGTGTTTAAAGTTCGGTTTTCAGGCTTTCAGGTTTAAGTTTCAGCACGGTGTTGTGCACACTCTCAATGGTGATAGGAGATGATCCTCAGCAAAGTCTCCTGTGTGCGGGACTTTGACGCAGCCCTTCAGAGGCTCATTTTTGGCAACAGAGGCGCCAGCCATGTGAATCCTGTTCCATGTTTAGGGTAACGGGCAAGAAAACGTGTTCTCCCAGATTCCTCGCTTGTATAAGAAGAAGCGAGCCTCGTCCGCCTTTCTGGAAAACATCCTGGCAGATGCATTTTCAGTTAAGCGTGTGTCAATGTCACACAGTGCAGCGATCGATCCGGATGGCAACACTACATGGATACACAACAGTCTACCAACATGACATGGAAGCCAAAAAGGAGCCGTACAACAACTGCAGTCCTTTTTGACGACATCTCAGCTTTGGGGATGTAATATAGAGCTGGAAAACTGTACTGCCCGCGTGCGCCCTGACAAGCTAGCGTGACAGGTTTGCTGGCAAAGAAGTTCATCGGCTTTGATTCGCTTGAGCCTGCTGCACGCTTTGCACGTCGCTTGTTTTCGCTGAGCTCACTTAATTTGGAGGTGTGATGCAACCCAACTGCCCAGACCAAGATCCTCAACTGTGAACCAGATACCACGAAACCCTTATGCACCCACACCCTTAAACCCCTGAACCGTGAAGCCCTCTATGTGTATACCCCTAAGTTCTTAAACCCGAACCCCAGATCATCAGAGAATAGAAGGGCCTGCAGGGCATCCGCAAACATGCGGATGTGTTTCTCTTGAACTTTGGCAGATTCGGATTCAGTAAAGAAGCGTTGGAAGATCGGTGTCGAGCAAGATCTTACAGGACCCTTGCAGTCGCAACTTTTTCAAGAATTTGCAGATCAGAATTCACATCCCACTGTCAGGTTTCCAAAGTAGATATGGTCCTTTTCTCTTGAACTGGGATGTTGACTGATTTGGGGTCCTGCGAAAGAAGTCTTGGAATACAGACCCAAGGAGCTTTGAGCAAGGTATTCCCCCGAAAATCCTGAACCTTGACGATATTCAAGGACCCTGATAGTCGAAGCAATGTGGGGACCAGAGGATGAGACTTTCCAACACTGTCCCCGCTGCTTGCATGAGTTTCAAACGCAGCGAAGGCCCAGCGTTTAATCCTGACGCATAGCACTGGACGGAATGCTCTGGAAGTTGGAGACATTCCAGGTGTTTTGTCCAGTGAAACATTTATTGGAGCTTCTCAAAATTTTCATTATACATTCCGCAAGCTGGACCCCCATAATGGCTTTGTAATCTACGTATATGCTGAGGGCCATTTGAGAAACTCTCTTATCTCGATTGCAGGAAGTGGAATGTTCATGGGTGTGTCAACCAACTCCCCAGAAGGGATCTCCAATTCACCCCTGACGCCCGCTAGAGTGTTTGCTTTGTTTGTCCTGTCTGGCTTATGGTCCTCAGGGGAGTTGGTAAGGGAACCTTTGAAAATGTGTAGAGCTCCGGTTCCTTGCAGGTCGAATCTTCGAAGGCTTGCCTTTCCCTTGAGAGTTCCATTCTCTGAGGGGCCTTTTTTGAAAATCGAAGTGTCCGTGGGTGTCTCTCGTTGGTCCCATAGCAAGGGGCTTTTTTCATATCTTCGAGCATTTCATTGGGATCTCCACTTTGAGACACAGGAATGCTACCATGCTTGTGCAGGCCTAGGTTCACAAACTCGCAGCTGGCTGATGAACATGACCTTGCTTGATATTGGCATCAAAGCAAAGATGTTTCAACCCAAAGTCCATGCGGAATCTGCCATTATCGTCCAGATGCAAAGCAACCACCGGAAACGATGTAAGCAAACAACCGCAACCGAGTAGTAATGTTTAAATGATGCCAGAAAGGGCCTCGGTAGAGAAAAACCCAAGTCGTAGCCAGGTGCTATCTCACAGCCTCGTAATATTCTGACTACATAACTTGCTTCTCTCAGCATGCCCACCTGGAAGGTCACAAGTGACCCAAGAGTCTTGCCCAAGAGTTGTTCACTCTTCCAAACATGGAACCACAGATTTACGCTATTAAGACCACTGTTTGGGCCAGCTATGTTAGTTAGTTGGAGAGTTGGAGCTGTTTTGGCTTGGGCAATCCTTCCAGTTCGTTTTTGTGCTCCACTGTGGTCCCATCCCTATGGCTTCGTTGTTGGTGATTGCCAGCGCGGTGTGCCTGGCTTTTGGCGAAGAGGTTTGCCGGGACTGCTCCGAGCAAGTGAGCTTGCTCCAGGCTCATGGCGAGCGTGCGATATTCGGCAGCAGTGTAGGGGTGTTTGTTTCTGTATATGCTACGCTCACTCACTTCGCATGGTTATCGGCTGTCGGCATAGCTCACTTCGGTTCCCAGGAAGCTTGCTGGTTAGCAGGGAGTTGAGTCCTTACATAGTCCATATCCCCAAGAAGCCGTAAGGAAGGAGGCCATGAAAGGCCAGTCCATCGTCGTGAAGGGCCCTTCGACTTCCAGCGGCTCACCAGCTGAGCAGCTGGCGCCCACGTGCGCGGCAGGATTCAATGCGGCCTACGAGAAATGCTTGGGAGGACGTCCAGCTTTTGAGACGCAGGCTTGAAGGTTTCGTATGAACTTTGCCTCGGTTATGCCCACAGTGCAGAATGAGGAGAGGCTTTGATGAAAGTATGTTAGACTACTGCGAGCTGTCAGTCATGAGGACAAAACTCTTACTTGATGGTGTTGGTCACCGACGGCAAGAAGGCTTATTGTGCGTACCAAGGTGGCTTTGTCCAAAATTGAGAACCAATGACATTCCCAAACTTCGGTACCCCCTTCTCGCCGTTGCGCTAGCATTCTCTGTGTAGAGTACCCATGGTCCCAGCATTGCTGGATATTTCAGCGTTGCTAGGGATCTCAGCGTGCTTGGGTCTTGTCGGTGCGAGCTTCAGTAAGTCCTGAAGTGCTTTGGGCCATTGCTTCCCTCAAGTTTAGCGAGTCAGCAGCTCCACGTTGGGGATCATTTTGATGTTGCGGAAGCCCAGCCCGCAAACCCTCAAATCTAGACCTTAAATTCTGGGCCATGCTGTGTGCATTTTGTTGGACAGCTTCCCCTGCTGCAGAACCCTGACTTGTCTGGAACCACTTGAGCGGAAGAAGGAGGCAAGGCAAGAGGAATGAAGCGGGAAGCAGGCAAAGACGAGGGTTTCGCCACGTGCCGGCCAAATGCATGACTCGCTGGTCTTGCCTACTCTGGTATGTGGGCATGTGCCCAGAAGGTTCTTGAACCTATGAGGTGAAAATCTTGAGAAACAGAAGAGTTAATGGAAAGCCTCAAACCTTTCCAGGAAGCTGGCTGTTCACCAAGCCATAGGGTCCCCTTTGTGACAGCTCGTCAAGCGTGCTCCATTTCTTTCCATCAATCCTTGCATCAAGGAGTCCAGGATGGAAGTTTATCGGAATTCGGATCCAACCAAAACCCTTGAATTGTAGATCTGTCAGGTGGCTGGGCTCAGACATCGCAGTACTATCCAGATTCGTCTGCATGCTTCGCAAGCCCCGGGGAATCAGAAGCGCTCTGGTATGATGCAGCAACGAAGTCCTTGGTTTCCTGGGAAAAGGACACGGTAGTGGCTGGGCCATTGCAGCAGGACCACGTGACGAGGGGCAGAGTTTAGGGTTGAGGATTTAGGGTTTGATCAATGGCCCGAACAAGAAAGGCTGCCGTCAAGTTACCATCTTCACGGAGTTTCTCACATAACCTCTGTATAGTCCTCAAGAGGATCCTAGAATTGTGGGGTCTGGCTAGATCCCGAGCCAAAAAGCCTGCAAGGGCTTGCAATCAGGTCAGACTTACACTATAAACGGGTCAATAATCTGCGTGGACTTCCCTGAGTAGGGAAGATCCGGAAACTTAAACCCTAAGCCTTAATACTCCCACCTGCAAGGACACCACCAGCCTAACTTGCTTTGGCAGTGGCGCGGAGCCCTGCCAGGCGACGCCATCAAAGTATCTTGCTGGTGCTTAGTTGGGAATGGAGGAATGGAAAAAGACCATGGAGACTAGTGTAGGACTTAGGCTTCAAGATTTTTTAAAGAATTTAGGATCCCGTGGTTGGGGTGGTAGGGAGGGAGTGAAGAGAAGGCATTGTTGCTAAGCACCAGTCAGGTATGGTCGAACCCTCACCAAAGAAGCTGGCCCGCTGTCATCAATGTTTTGGGGTACTAGGGTTTAGCTCAAACTGCGAGACCCCAGGGATACGTAGGAATTTAAAGGAGATCATAAGGGTCTGTAGCAAAGGTTGGCATCCTGAACCATGAATCCTGAACTCTCACCCCAGCTGTCTTCATCTCAGGGCGGGAAGGTCTGGTACATTGTCCCACCCGGCGATGAATTCAGCTTTATCTGGAACCCAAGCGATGGGTATGTGAATATTGAAACAAAAACTCCGCAAAAGACCCTCCGTCGCAGTTTGGGGTGTCATGTAGGGCCTATGTAATTGGAAGTGAGTTTGTGGTGGCATGTTGTACTATAGAAAACTTGAAGGGTTAGAAAGAAAAGCTAAAAAATCCCAATAAAGCCTCATAAAATACAAGTTTTTACTTCTTCTTTTCTTGTACTATTACGGTATGCTGCAACAGTGGAGTGAATGCGCGGTACAGTTTCGCTTCCATGGAGGTGTGCTGGGATCGTCGTTGTGGTTCCAAGGGGTCCTCTTGTCAAAGCTTCACAGGGTTGCTCAGTTGCTTGATGAAGGAAAGCTTGCACCACTTTGGTTTCCTACGCTACCAAAATTTCAGCACTCAACGGGGTCTGGAGTTGTTCCTAGCAACACGGTGTGCGTTGTACATTCGCATGTGCGACCGGATTCATGAATCATCATGGAAGCAGCATGATTCAGGCTTGTGGCAATGATTGGTTCGACTTCCTTGGGAGTACTTCATGTGGGATGTTGTCGAGATGATGGTTTCTTTCCGTGTACCTATAGTGCTTCGTCCCGCCATAATATTGGCAACCCTATATGTCCAATTCATGGCACTGGTTCGAGCCGTTCGATTCTACTCCTGCTTTCCATATGAAACCCTATACTCCATCAGTTGTTGTAGCCTGGCGATGAACCCACTTTGCTGAGGCCTCCTACCTGAGGCTTGACAAGATAGGGTTTAGTGGGCTTAGAGCTTGTGCTGGCGGGTTAAGGCGTGTTGAGAACATGTCTAAGTTCGCTTACTAGCCCACTCAGAAGCCAATTTAGGGTTTGGGTGGTTTTTGGATGGAGTCAGTTCGGATGAGGCCTTGAATGCAGCTGGTCTTAAGCTCTGAACTTCAACTTGCAACCGGTGACAAGGAGGGAAAAGATGCCTCCGATGATCCTGTATGGAACACCGTAAAGCCCAATCAAAAAGACAGGGCGGTCGGCCAACAGGGCCCCTCTTGGGTTTCCATGCATGTGTCTGGGGGGTGGGGTTGAGGGCGTGGAAGGTTAAGGTTTGGCCTAAGCCCCAAGCCCTATCCGATTAAACCTTAAGCCCTAAAGAACCCTTTTTTTTGAGGATCTACCTCATGTCCGTGAAGAACAACCTGGGCTCTAGCAGCAGCAGTGGCTTGTCCACGGACACCTGGCGGGTGTTCTTGGATGCTCATGGGTATTCTACTACCCTGCTTTAGTTTAGGATCCCCCGGCGCATGCCTCAACAAGCGTTTCAGGGTTTAGCTTTTGGGGTGTTTGGGGTTTGGGTTTTAGGGTTTCAGAGTTTCAGGCTTCAGCTTTCTGGGTTGGATGTTGCAAGCAGACTTATAGGCCATGTTAGTGTACTTACAACCCTACTTGCAACTACCCAGGACTCTCCAAGTTCAGGGTTGTGGCATTCGGACGTGGGGTTCAAATCTGTACTCTCAACCGTCGTGGTGCAACTCGTACCCGCCGTGGGAACTGTGGTGTCGTATGTTATTCGCCCCTAGTCAAGCATGGAACTCCAGAGGGCCGCCTTTTGCTGCAATCGCCATCTTTATTGTGGTTTTTTTGGGTTCCATATTGGGTTCTTGCATTGCCTTTCTGGGATTGGACGTTGGGTGTGGGGATGGCAAGCTTCGTAATTTTTGCGGCGGATCCTGATCCAAGCCTTTATCTCGGACCTCAATTCCATGCAGGCAATTTTCCAGACCAGTGAGCCTTTGTTGGGTACTTCTCATCAAAGTATTGCACCTCATACTTGGAATGGACTGGGCCCCAATTTCGGAGATGACCTAGGTGCTTGAAGATTCAGCTTTACACCTACTGCCCGCAAATTATTGGTGTTTAGCAGGGAAATGAAGGAGTGGATTGGGACTCGGTCGTCACAATCTTACTGAGTGTTTAGGATTATTAGCCAAGAGGGTCACATAGGGAATACTTACACATAGATTTCTTTAGGTATCCATTGCCTCCTTCCCTACCATTTGCATTCTTCCATTTATGCTTTCGCTGGACTCTTGCACGTGTCGTCGACAGAAGGAGTTCCTCCGGCCCGCACAGCTCGCGCCATTTACCGGGGAGCAAGCATTGGTCAAGAAGTCTTGGAGTTGAGATTTTTTCTTTGCATGGCTGAGTCCCCAAACCTTGAAAACCCCTGGCAGAAAGACGTGTCATGCAGTCATCGAGACAGTCTCCCAGAAAGCACCCAAAGCCTTAAAACCTCGCAGCAAGCAGGTCTATGATGCCGTCTTGCCCCAAAGCCAATTTTTTTTAGTAGTTTCCATCTGCTTTTCCATTCCTGTAGCTACAACCTTCCCGGGAGCACTAGTAAGTGTTGCCCTTCCTTCAGGACATCCCCTGTGGCCGAGAGGGATCCATCGACAACCAAGCCAAGGAGTTCCCTATAAATGGCCTCAGCGGATCCTGCCAGAAGGATGGGCTTGGAGTTTCAAAGACTACGGTTTGAGTTTGGGATTCTGGGTTTGTGTGGGTTTGGGGGGTGAGTTGTAGGGTTCAGGGTATCGGGTTTTCGTAGGATGCAGATGGGGGTTGGTGGGTTTGCCGGGTTAGCGGGAGCTTTTGAGCTCAGCGCGGATTTCCGGACGTTTCGCTTGTGGAGGCTTGGCGGTTTTTCAAATATGTTTCTGTTTACCAAAGTTGCAATAATGAGGACCTTTTCAGAGTCGTATGACAGTCATACAGTCATAGGGTCCTTGTTATGGGGGTTGCGGTAAGCCAGGATCCCCCAATCAGTTCTGGGCCTCAAAGAGAGTTGATTCTAATCCTCCAGTGCCTTGCAGATAGCGCAAAGCTCTTCGCCTCATAGGCATGAGATGAGGCTTCTGTCGTGTTTTTTTGTGCAAAAGCATACTCTTTGGGAAGCTTTGTGTTTGCAGGACAATGATGACTACTGGATGGCTTTTGGAAGTGGCACCGTGACAATCTGCTTCCCTGGTGTAGCCTGCTAGTCTATGTCCCACAAGCTTATGTCAGCACGAAGAAGCCCAATGCGGGAGTAGTCAGTTAAGCAAATCAAGGATCCCAGCTGACATCAAGCCGTCAGTTTCCTCTTGACGTTAAAGGTCGCTTGCAAGACCTTCAGCAAGTGCTGTGTACAGTACCACGTGGTTCCAATGGACGGTTCCAATGCTGAACTGGAAGCCGCTCGCAGTGCCCATTTTAGGAACAGATTCTCAGAGACGTCGGGGACTTAAAGGGGTCAATGAGACCAGGCCAGGCCAGAACTGTTCCTGGTTGGGTTGGAGCCACAACAAAGTTCAGCCATCCGACATTGATCAATAAAGCCTGGAAGCGAGAAGGCTTCTAGATGTGGTTATAACGAGCCCAGTATGTGTTAATGAAGGAAAAACCATCAAATCATATTGGGCATCCTCACATGACTTAGTGTACGCTGTGTGCTCGTTATGAAAGGTGTATTGGGCTTTCTGCAGTCCCCTTGTGGTTACTCAGGGGTTTCCTCCAGGCGAGGACCAGAGCGGCTTCCTCTTAAACCCGAAGTTAGACAAGGCAGAGCCAAAAGCTGCCCTGCCGAACTTCGTCAGGAAAAGAGATCGGCTTACTCCAAGTTCGAAGGGCTGGGGGGGTGGCACATCTGAGGTGTTGTTGAAGGGTTTTGGGCAGACCTCCTTAGCTGCATTTGTGTCTTCAGGTGCTTGTGCGCTGCGTGTGCTGCTTGTCTAGTTGCTCTGAGTTGCAGGCCCCTAAACCTGCAGAGGCACCTTGCCGAACGGTCTGGGTTCAGGACTCATAGCGATGGTACTGGAGCTTGGATCAGCAACTGACTGATTGGATGTCAGTAGGGAAGGGGGGGAAGAGAAGAACCCGATGCCCTTCCCATTCCCTCATGCTTACGCACAAGCAGCAAGTTGAGGGCGCATCCTCATACAACTAACGCCGACCCTCATGCTTGACTCACATTGCTATCGCCGCTTGGCCCCTGCTTGCTCCTGTCATCTGTAGTGTCGGATACAAATCTCTATACTGCTAGTGCTGAACAGCATGATGGCACGAGCAAACACCCCGACCCAGAACACGCTGAACCTTCACACAAATACACTTTTAGTGAGCTAAGCCCAGGCACTCAAAACCCCCATGTTGGGAGTTTGAGCTTTCGTAAACGATTTTGAGATTACACCTGGCCTTTGTGGACTCCTCGGGAGCACGAGTGCCATGTGGGTGACCATGTGGGTGACCTGGCACTGTTGTTTGAAGGCTGACTGCGCTGCAAAATGAGGTTATGCGTTTGAAAGGAGTGACATTCTTTGCTTTCATGCTTATCGTGCGCTGCCTTTCAAAATATGGCATGGCACTCAGAGGACGATTTATTCTTCATCTTCCCACCGTCGTGTCAGTTTTCATGCTTCATGCAATCGACGCGACTGTCACCTGCAATGTCCTGAAGTGGTGGTACTTGAATAAACTAGATGTTGTGGTTCTCGTAGGCCCAAAAATATTGTATAGAATTGTGAAGGAGCTGTGCTTTCTCATTTCCTAAGCCCTAAACCCTAAACATGCGCGACTGCGCGGTTACGAGAATGGGCGGCCTTTCCGCGGTCCGGTCCTCCACTTTCCTCCAGCTGAGGAATGTGTTTGTGGCTTCAAGAACAAGCCGATGAATGAGGCAGGAAAGTGGCTCTTGGGTCTACAGGTGAGAGGATGAAGGTGGCTGTTTCGGAAGCTGGAGGAAGTGTGCGCCGCACAGCCTCAACCTTATCTAAATCCCGCGGTCCAGAGCCTCAGAGGTTTGCGGTGGAAATGGCCCACTGGGTTGCAAAGCAGCGAGACCAGGCCAGGTCTGAGTGTGGCTTGAGTTGGAGTTGTCTAAATTTGGGCTTAGCAGATTTAGGGTTCAGGGGTTTGGGGTTGCGGGCCAAGAGTATTTTTTTTGCTGTTAAGGGCGTGGGCCTTGCATGTCATGAGGTTCCACATTTCAACAGACTTAGCTCGTGCATTAACAACCCTGCATGACCTGAAGTACATGAAACGTACTTGGAGGTCCGTGGGTAATCAGAACCTACTTATAGCTAAAATTACCACCCGTTTTGAAACCCCCGTTTGGTCCTAAAATGTAATTACACTACGGCTATAACTGCAGTTTTACTTGGGTTACACGTACCGAGGCAAATCCAAATGTGTTGATCTATTAGTATCTATCAAAAGCTTCCTGGATTGAATGCGAGGCAACCAAAGAGCTTCAGCAACCCACCTGCTTGCGTGACTCTGTGGCCACGATGCTCATCATGTGTCCAAGAAGCTTCATATTCATCGTCTCGCTACAGACAACTCCTATAGAATCCTCATCATGGTCCCTACATTCACTCCCCCAGTTCCTTTTCCCCTGGAGCATTAGTAAGTTGTTGGGGCCCAATCTCAAAACCTCGAGGCACCAGTAAGCATGATTGAGCTCTGGTGCGGCCTTAGTATTTGCAATTTGATTAGTCCCACCCAGCGTGCCGCGGGTGTTTCTCAGCGATTGGAAAGGTTGTTGCCTCGGTTTTGCCGCGTTGTTCTTCTAAACAGCTCTGGCCTGCCAAGCTTTGGAGCGAATATAGGGATTACTGTTGTATTTTTCATTCTAAGGACTTCCATTACTTGGCCGAGGCGCTTCGACAGCCTTTCCGAGCCAGGCCGCGTGTTTTTCTGCGGGATGGCCTGCATAGATGCGCCAGTGATGATGATGTGTGTGTGTGGGGGCTGGGAATATACGGGCCTATGATGAGCCCAGATTCCCGAAAGCTTGGCAAATGTCGCGAGAGGGCAAGTAGCTGTAGCTACGAGAGTTTCTCTCAACCCTCGCTCTTTTTTAGCTTGTTTTGTTTAATTATCAATGGGGTTCTATGTCTTCCAACTGGGGCATTTGTTTTGCAATTCATGTTAGGATACTTGCAGCCCGACTTTTGAGACTACCCCTGAACCTCCAGCCAAGCATCCATCATACCTAAACGTGCGCATTGCCAGCGCTCGTCCATCTCACATCCCTTGCCTCCAGGCCTCCAGGCTAAATTCCTGAAACCCCAAACTTAGAGGCTCCAGAACACAAGGCCTGCACCCCCAAAACCCCAGACCCCGCGTGTGAAAACTGTGGCCCAGGCACAGGCTCAGTTGCCAATGGGAGGAAGCGAAGCCGGGGCCTTTGTGGAGTTTCAGGGTTGAGGGCGTACGGGTCTGGGATCAGGTCTTTGCGAGTTTTTGGATCAGATTCGCAGTTGAGGGGGCAGGCAACAGGGATGGGGAGTTTAGGGTTCTTGGGTCGGGGGATTAAGGGTTTAGATTTTTCGAGTTCAGAATTTTAGGTGTTGGGGTTCAGGGATTTATGATTTTAGCGTTTGGGGTTTACGCAGGGTTTCTAGGGTGCAAGGTTTTGGGTTTCAGGTTTGAAGTCAAGACGTCCGAGAATTTCTGAAAATCTTTCTTACGTTCCGGAATAGGTCCGCCGTACAATACCTTTAGACTTTTCAATCCCCATATACTCCCAGGGTCCCTGAGGCCCTGAGGTTCCAAATTTTCAGACGACCCGTTGTCATCAATGTTTCAGGCTTTGGAACCTCATCCGAAATGAAAGTCAACATGTGCTTTGGACCGGTATGCCAGGTTACAAGAAATGGGGTTCCCTTGCCAGGGGTACCAAGAATATATTGGGGTTCATCTTGGGGCATCCTCCCTACATGACCCTTGGAGAAGTTTTAGGCGAGCTGTGCCTTGCCTTCCGCGAGGGATCTGTGCATAGTGCACGAAGGTACGAAGGGTGCATGCGTCCTTCCTCGTTCGATAGTGGGTCATGCTCACAGCATGGGTCGTTGATAGTCCTGCCATACCCTTTAATCCAAAACCTAAAGCCCGACGCGAAATCCCAAACCTTTGACCCCTAGCCTCTGCATCCTCAACTCTCCCAAAAGCCACACCCAAGAGGCTGACTGGTTTCAGTATGCCTTAGCAGGAAATGGGGCAAAAAATGGAAACTTCGTCAGATGGTCTGGTGACCTGAACAATATAAATTGAAAGGAGGGGACAGTCCAAGGTTAAATCGTCCGTAGTCTTTTGCAAGGAAGAGCATGCTCTCTTGGGTTCGACCACCGAAACACATTCATGGGACCACCAGGGGCCCCCGTTAAGGCCCATGCTACTGGAAAGGCTGATAGTATAGCCCCATGAGACACTGCTCGTATCGACCAGGACTGGACATGCAGCTGCGGCTTTCGTGCCTCAGCTGCATAACTGCAATGATACAAGGAACCTGAATACAATTCGAGGTATTTTCAATGTAAGCTGGGGTTACCGGGCTCTCCGGCTCCAATCATCTCTGAAGGGGTGCTACTCAACTATCAGCTTGCACAGTGGCAGCACTTTTGCTTGCTGTGGCTGATCTTGTTACCGCAACGGCAGTGCTAGTGGTGGTGGTGGTGGTGGTGGTGGTGGTGGTGGTGGCTGTGGTGGCTGTGGTGGTGGTGGTGGTGGCTGTGGCGGTGGCGGTGGCGGCGGCGGTGGCGGTGGCGGTGGCGGTGGCGGCGGCGGCGGCGGCGGCGGCGGTGGTGGTGTTGGTATTCTTATTATTCTTCGTCGTCGACGCTTCAGGTGTGAGTTTGATCCTCCAAGCAGGCAACTACAGTATCATTAGGAGAGCAAAGCTCGAGCTTTGCTTGTGGCATGCAGGTTCCTGAATTTCACCCTTCCAAATGAATAGCCCGTGTTGTAGTCCAACGACCTGTGCAAATTGCTTGAAGCCCGGAAAGCTGTCGGCTACGGAGGCAACAAGGGCGTGAACCAAGTATGCGGAGGTGCCCGAAGCCTGCTGTACTGTGGAGGGCCCTATTCATTTCAATCGAGGCAGATACCTTAAATCATCTTAGAATCCTTCATATTATTGAGGGCTATTGGCTATTGCTCAATGCAGGGGTATGGGGCGCCCTGAGCAGGGTAGAGGATGCTTACGAACGCTGAAGGCAGCAAG